AAAACAGAAAGAAAAATGGCACATTACAAAAATGTACAAAATAATTTGCATGCCACTGAGTGAAATAAATCTTACGTTTCCTTCAATACAGCCAAAATCTGTATATGCCCATTTGACACACAGATTACAATCAATCAATCAATCAATACACTACTCTTCCATTCCAAAATTTTTACCACTATAAGTAGGACAAAAAGCCAATAATATTGTAAAAGTAAGGTAGTTGAGACCACAATCACTGAGAACATCACTGGTAAGACATTACACTATTAGATTGAAAACACACAATGTCCTACTATTCAAAAAGGGAAATGCACTCTTCAATCTTAAAGTCCCTGTCACACTAGACAACTTATGCCAACTTATGAATATAATAAAGATGTCTACCTTGAAGACGGAATTTAAAAAATCAACAGGAAGCTTCTTTTTGGCGTGATCAAATATATAAATTTATTAGCAATTAAGACATAAAACATGTTTCATGCGTTGGCATAAGTTGTCTAGTGTAGCAGGGCCTTTGGTTTGTATTTACAAGCAATGACATAAGATCTGTGCAAACACCCGGCGGCGGGATTTTAAAAAAAACTTTTATTGAGGGAATATAGATGATGACGCACAAAAAAGTGCATCATCATCATTAAAGTTTAATAAATTTGTTATGGATGGACTGATCTGTGCACCATTTTTGTGAGTGTCTTTTGAATAAGCCTATTGATGTGATGCCAGAAATCTGTGTTAGATTATGTTGATTCAGCCTATTTTTTTTTTTATCTCAAATTGAAAATAAAGTCATTCTTTATAAATGTGGAAAAAAGTATAACTTTCACAGCCTACTTCTTGATATACATCTCGGCTTCGTGAACCCTTTTTCAGTGTGAACTTACAAAGTGACGTGTGCACAGAATAAAGGAGCAAATGTTGAATCAACAAGAAATTAATGGGGCAGGGGGACAGCAGTAATGTCAGTATTCAATATTTTTTCCATTGCAGCAGGGAACATGGTTGGCGATAGTTTTCTAGGTTTAGCCTTGGCATTTTAATGTAACCATAGATATTCTCATTGGACCTTGAGATAACACCAGGAGCAACAGTGAATATGCAGGACGGAAAAAGGCGTGGGATTGTTGTATGCGGCAGATGGGGTGTTAAGTCTTCACCTTATCAGGTTGATGTTCCACAAGCTGTTTGCCAATTATTTGTTTTATTTAAAGCACAAACCCTAAAAAGATTGGATCATTTTTGGAACTTGCACACTAAATTTGTGACGGCTTAAGGCAGAGATTAGAAGTAAGTCAAGTTTTAATGCACTTGAAGACAGTTCGGTCAGTTGTAATACCACAAAACACTGTAACTGTACTATAATAATAAAGAAAAGTACTATAACAAAGAGCAATGACCACCATAAAGTGAAATTATACCCTCAGACAAAGTTCTGGAAGTTTACTTTCTTTCTGACTATTTTATCGTTTGCTGTCCCTCAAACATATTCAAAAGTTGTTTTTTTTTACGTGGTTCAATTAATAAAATGCTTCATGCCAGTATGTAAGGTGTGACCGTACTTTAAACAAAAAACAAAAACATCTGGAGGAAGAAAAGTTTATTCTTTATTCTGCTTTAAAGAACAAGTCATTTGGTTTGTATGGGTTTAATAGGTCCATCACCGAGTTGACATCTGGTTTCTAAAAGAGTTTTAATTAACCAGACCGCTGGTCAATGACAGGTAGGGAGAAGGCTTCCATTATGAGGAGGCATTGGGCTGAGGCACAGGCTGCTGTTTTAGCCATCAAAAGAAAAATTAATGATGTGGCTAATCTGCCTGGTGATCTCTGATCTGAGAGACTCTTTGAGGCATGAGATGGACCCACATGCAGTCGTGCTAAAATACTAATCTGGAAAAGTTAGAATTTCAGGCTAAAACTTACTGTAACTGATTGAGGGTCAGGAAATCAAAGGAATAATTATAGTTAAGGAAGCCATCTTTAGTTAAAAAAGGTACTTCTGGAAAAAACAAAGAAGACAAATCTAAAATAGACAGAATAAAGTTATGAGAATAATTCCTGATATTGCAAAATTAGAGATAACAAACTTATAATACTGCAAATAAAATAAAATAAAAAACCCAAATTGCATGTTAGCAAAAGGTCTAATAATACCTCACACTAATTATTATTATTATTATTATTATTATTATTATTATTATTATTATTATTATTATTGTTTTAGTATAATATTAAATAAAACAAAAAACAAACAAACAAAAAAGAATATTGTAAATGTTTCATAGGTTGCCAATAAATGGGTGCCTACATGTTTTGTACAGGTCTGTATGGGTTGTATGAAATGACCTCTATTAAGTTACCAGAGCTATTTTATGTTTTTATTAATAGTAAGTTCTGATGATAAACACATGCAGGTCTCATAGAGCAGATGTGGGAAAAAATATTTTTTAGATAAATAGTTTTTTGATTTTTTTTCTTCCTGCAGTGTGGAAAATCTTTTTCAATGACTCCTACTGTTTAACTGAAAAACTGCAGCAAATTAAAACACTGAAATGGGTTAGCACTGGTGACAGTATTCACATTGTGAGAAACACAGAAATCCACTTCTTGGCCCACAAAGATCAGCTGTTAGTGTCTTTGGTCAAAATTGATTTTTTTTTCTTTGAAAGAGTCATCTACAACGAGGAAAATATGTAGATTAAATATTTCCTCAAAACAACACTTCAAAACTTGCAGGCTATTTTATTCAACAGCAACACTTTGCAATCACTGATCGTGTATCTGAATTAGTTGGGAAACCCCGGGATGAGTGATGTTTCCACGCTGCAGTCAGATGAACAACCACCTGCCTCTTAGCAGGTGTTGAAACGGAGGATACTGTTACAGTGAACAACATCCATCTGGGAGTAAACATGGATGAGAAATCAAAAGGAATTCTACACCGCCACTGCAAAGAAGCCTGCTCTTTCATGTCCCATTTCCCCCATTGCCTTTGTAGATGTTTCACTTTTATTGCCCGTTACTGTAAATGATGGCACTGAGCTGGGGAACCACTCTGTTTTACTTGACTTTAAAGCTGCCAGGGCACTCGAAAATCTTTTTATGTTTTATAAGGGGCAAAGAGATCTTCATTATAGAAATCCACAACAATAACATCTCTTACTGATGCCAATAAGTAACGCAAAAATGATAGAAACAGAAAACAAAATATGTCTTTTGAAACGGATAGTAAAAACGAAGCACAAATCGAAGAGAAAAATTCTGAACAAAATAAATAAAAATGAATAAAGACGATGTTCGTTTGGTTCACCATTATTCATGCCACACTTTTAATGATAGCAAATGAAAACAAAGTTATTGGCTGTTTAGTCCAGTTGATAAACACTGAATTAAATTACGTATGTTTATTTACATTTAAAAATTGCAGTTTTAAGTAATTTTGTACTGAGCAAAGGATTACCTGTGAAATAATTTTAAATAACCACCCTTTTGAATAAAACTACACGATGACAAAATCACCCTTCCAGTGTGAACATTTATCACAGAGGATCAACGTGCACATTATAAAGATTATGTTTAAAAGGACAATTCATCAACTTTCTTGCAGCTAAAAAAACCTTCAAAGTTAAAAACTGCAAAACTTATATTAATACAAACTAGGCAAGCAAAATCATCTATGTAAAAACTGTCATTTATATTTCATATTTTAATACTAAATGAATGACATTTTTCATAAAGTCTGGTTCCAAATACAAATAATTAAGTTCATTTTGCTGTAACATGGTGTAGCAATCAAAGCAGTTTATGACTAATTAAATCTGACTCATTCACAGAGAGAACACTGTGAGGGTTTTGGAGAGAAAAAAAACAAAAGTTTAACAGTTTTGTTTAAACAAATATACTTATTTTAGTGTTCATATTATACATAAAGCAACATAAACAGCCAATTATACAGAAACAGGCTGCACGCTGTTCCTCTCTCCTCCTCCCCGGCTCCACCTGTCCAGCTAACTTTAGCTAGCGTTAGCATCCAGCTGCACGGCTGAGCTTCGTCTCCCTCTCAGGTGGAGGAGTCAGTAAACATTCTTCTGCAGGTTCAGCTTCTCTAACAGCTGTTTTTGTTTTTTAATTTACCATCTTCAATATTGTCTCCAGATCTTTACAAACATATTTTTATTTTTTTTGTTTGAGCACGGCTCCAAGTTCTGCTGCGTCTGAATCAAAGTTTTGCTGCCCCCCCCACCCTGTTTCTGATTGGCTAGCAGGCCTATCTAGTGTTTTTAAAGTGAAAGCTGCGTCTCTGTTAGGTCCAGGGAAATGTTTGTTAAATTTCTGGGTGAACACGATTTTATTTTATTTTATTTTTTGCCAGAGTAATGCTACACCTGGCGCAGTGCTATCAGCGTCGTCAGCGTCAGCCACATTTGTCCCTGTCTTTGTGGTTCGTCTAAAAGCTGGTGAAGAACTCAGAGAACATCCTTACCTCAGCGTGGGACTGATGGCCACAGACCACACTCTGTCAAACATGGCAATTGTTGCTCTAGGAGAGCTGGAAGTCAAGGTCCAAATCTAAAAGAACAAAAGTTAAAACCTGTTGCAATATTTGCTTAAATAACATCTAATCCCAGGTTTTATTCATCAGAACATAACAGAAAAAATAACCTGATCCTCACTCTAAAAGGAAAATAAAAACGGATCATTGATACATACAACATTTAATAATTTCATGTTGCAAAATGCTCATAAGAAAGACATCTAAATGTTCAGGTGTTCTTACCCCAACTGTTCGGTCTCTTGATCCACTGACGATGAGTCCATTCTTAGAGTCCAGACAGTTAACCTCCTGACTATGACCTGCCAGCCCCCATGACACGTCACTTCTTCTGCTATGGACCAGGATCCGGCCATCGCTGACACAAAACAAAGAGAGAGACAGCTTGAATTTATTTGTTGAAGCTGGTTCAAATGTGAGCTCTACAAAAAGATGATTGCAATAAAAAATATTAATGCTGTTCCTTTATCTTGTTCTTCCTGACGTTTTGTTCTCCCAAAGTTCAAACTTTCATGTAACAAATAAATCAAAGAAAATGTTACACGGTTCACAAACACATTTGTTTTTTAGCTTGCTAAAATTCATTTTTTCATCAGTTAGGACAAAATTCAAACACCTTCCTAAAATAATCATCCAGGTTTTCCAGGAAACAAGCCAAAACTTAACCAACGATGTACGATTATGGCTTTTTTTTTTTAAATTCCTGATAAACTTGAACAAAATGATTCAGGCAATTATTTTAGGAAGTGTTAAAATGCAGTTGATTTAAATGTAATCAAAACTATAGGAATTTTAAACCCTAACATACTTAACTCTACTCCGTTATATTTACTCATATTTAAGGGAAGCTATCTTTAATACTGTAATTTAAAAAAAATCAAATACTATTAAAACAACTAGCAGATGATGTGAGGCGAGTGTACTTATTCTTAATACTGTTTTAAAATACTAATAAAAGGGGCCACCAGATTGAACTTAATAATTAATAACAGACTGAGCTGTAAATTAAATTAAAATACTAAATAAACAAACAAAAAATCTAACTAACACTTTTAACATGAAAATAACTTTCTGAGTTTTGGTACCAAATGACTATTCTGAAAAATCTGATCACAATTTATATTCATTTCACAACGATTCAGCAAAAATAACACTTTGGAGCAATAAATAACCTTTACAATACGAATAAATACTTTTAATATAAATTGATCTAAAACATAAAAATCTTTTGAACAGAATTCATTTGTTTTCTGCTTTTATTACGGTCATAAATTAGCCATGATCAATAGCCTTCTGTACAAAAGT